GAACTATGTCAAAATAAAAGAATAAAAATTCATAGCACTCCATCAAGGTAATAAAATGTAATCATTAAAAGTGGTGTTTATTTATTGGCAAACGATGATGTCATTGTTGTTCAGTGAAAAAAGAAAAGCTGTTATAGGATTCGTTTTTTTCCCAATTTTGTTATATATACATGTATCTATAGATATATAGAAAAAAAAATCCATGAAGGATATTCACCGTGGTGTTAATATCTGTTATTTCTGTGTGGTGGGATCATGGATGAAGTTATTTGTTTATTTGTTTTTCTATATTTTCTAATTTTCCTAAAATGAAAGTGAATTAAGGGAAAGGTTTTCTTTCCAGGGGTATAAGGGTGTCTTCTAAGAAGAAATATAGTAGACTATTCTGAACGGTCCAAGTCCCATTTTGCTCACAGGCAGAACAAACAATTGTATACACAATCGTCAAATTTGCTTGCTTTCTCAGTATTCTATATATAATTTATGCTTTTCTCCTAGACAACCTGTGCCTTACTGCTGATTTGCTTACCCTTTTCCATTTATATTGCCTGCCTTTGCAAAAGAGACTACCAAATAATAGATAATTGGAGTTGTCTATTATTCCCATACAACAGTATTATTTTATTTGTGTCAAGCAGCTCTACTCTCTGCCCTTCTCATTTTCATCAAAAACTCTGCTTCTAAGAACCCTCTCGATTCTCCACCCCTCTCCACAACCCTAGGGTGTCAATGGATACTCAAAACCGCAGGATGAATATATTTTATCTTCTTGGAGCATCAGTTTTACTCAGAAATGGAAAGGATATAATGTTATTATTAGAGTAAAACAAGTCATTATATTAGCAATCAAATTAAAAATTCCCACAATTCAAAAAATATAATGGGCAACTTCACATAATTTAAAGCTCACAAGCCAGGGCTTTCCATTCTAACCCTTGGAATTCTGGAGGTACACATTCCTTTCTTATCTACCTTTAAGGATTCTCCAGTGGAAAAGTTTGGGAAGCAGGGATCTAAGACATTCATCCTTTAATTGCTCCCCCATTAACCATTAATTCTTCCACGTCTTATGAAATGAGCCCTCGCCCCAGGGGTGTCTACTCAGAAAGATGCCCTTCACACAGCCGTCTTCTGCTCAGAACTGTTTGTCCAATATAGTACAATTTACAAACCACGGTATTCTTTTAAACATTGGCATTTGATACAGGCGTAACTCAAAACACAAAAGTTAAAAAGAAAGAAAATGATTATGGAACACAATGTAAAGACCGATCAATTGCTTAGCAATAGAACCTCTGTACAAAGTGAGCCCTAGAGGTAGCCCAATTAAACGCTACAGGCACTACCAGAGAGAGACCTGCTATTTTCAGGATCAATTCAAAATGTATAAAGTCTTAAATTGTATACATTAAAAATAATGAACCCCAATAGAACAAAGGTACATGAAAGAAAAATCTTGGCAAAATAGTCTAAGATTAGACTATTGTTAAAAAAACAAAATTCAGCTGAGTGAATTTGAAGACCTAGTTGGCTTTATCCAACAACTTGTGAATTGGACAGCATCCCATCTAACAAGTGGAAAGGGGCTCTGAGAAGATGTAGGAAATGAAGAGTCTTATAGGCAGAAGGGAATAGGACAAGGAAGTCATAAACAAAAGAAAGGACTTTTTTTCAGGCAGGTCACCTTCCTTTAGGGGAGGGGCAGGGGTCTATCCTGAAGATTACCTTACTAGTGTTGATCAGGAAATTCCAGATGGATAGGTTTAAAATTTCACTCCTGGGAGAGGCTGAAACTGCAGTGAGGTAAGGTTTTGGTTTGCTGATGTGGGGCTTAGCACAAAGGGCTCCGTGTTGGGCCTGTTGTTTCTTCTTTAATGCTACTGTCATTTACAGAAACAAAAAAGTCCAGTGCCTTAAGTCAGTTTTAGTATGTGCATAAAAGCACGTTTCCCTTTAGGCCATTCAAATTGCCTATAATGAAAAAAGTCTCAATTCTAAAAATTAAAATAATGGGAGGCCGACTCTTAAGAACAGATAGTTTTCAAAGAAAGGAGTGGTAACTGGTGAAACCAATTTTCTTCCAATGTAATTTTACTTGCTTAATTATTACACAAACATAATGTTCCTAACCTTTAAGGCATTCCTTAAGTGGAATAAAGCCTTGTTTTCTCACTAGCTAGAACACTGACATTTATCCCTCGGTGGGAGAATCACTGGAATGAAGCATGCATATTTTACGATAGGCACAGCAATGGTTTTTAATTATCACTTTGAAGGGTCGCTTTCAAATATGAACCGTTTTCTCTTCCTATTCCAGGTGACATTTGGATTACCTATTTTGTCTTCTGCTCTCCACTATGTCTTATTTGGTTAATGTCAACCAAAGGGCCCAAAATCATCTAATTTGAAAGCAGCAGAAGGCAATGATCATATAAAATTCTGCCTTACCAAGAGTAAGCACTCAGGAAAGGTGTATTGAATTAATTTGCTGACTTGATAAACATAGTGTTTTTCAGAGGGCCAGAGTGGGGATATTTCATTGTAAGAAAGTAGCCTCAACTAACTACATAGGAAGTGCACTCATGGATCTCCTTAGCTAAAGAGCCATAAGACTACAAAGACTTGAGTCAACAAGCCAACTAATTCTGTTGCTGGGCTCTCAGATCCAGCTTGAAATAAAATTCTGGAGCAGTCCCTGAGATAGATCAGGAAAAATATCAGGAAAAATAATCAATTTTTATTTAGCACTCTGCATTGTATAGAAGAGGCACTCAGTGAATGTTTGATGACTATAATGGTGACGATAAACATGCTCCTTTGATCACCTACGACAGAGGTGCAGTGCTACTTCATTCAATTCATTCAACAAACATTTGTTGTGTTCTAAGCACTAGAGAAACAGTAGTGAGCAAACAAGACAAAAATTTCTACTTTCCTGGAACTTACTTTCTAGTTGGAGTAGAGAAAAATTGGACAACAGGTAAGTAAAATATACAGTTGATTAGTGGTAAGTGCTTAGGAGAAAAGTAAAGCAGGAAGAAGGCATGAAATGTTGAAGTTAAAGATGCAGATTGAGTGACCAGGGAAGAACTCCCTGGGAAGGTGACTTTTAGTAAAGATTTAAAGAAAGTGAAAGTGAGGGAAAAACATTCCAGACAATGGGCACAGCATGTGCAAAGGCCCTGAGGCAGGAATTTCAAGGAACAGCAAAGAGGCCAAGGTGGCTGGGCATAAGATGCTAGAAATAAAGGTGTAAAGGGCAGACCACAAAAGCCCCCATAGTTCACATTTAGGACTCCATATCTATTGAAAGATGGGAAGCAATTAGGGTTTTGACCAGAGTAGTGACCTGACCTGACTTAGGTTTTACCAGGCTCACTCTGGCTTTTCTGTGGAGAGTAGACAGCAGGGGAGCCAAGGGCAGGGCAGGAAGAGGAGCTATTTGTTTTAAAATGCAGAGTCTGGAGTTCGTGGTTTTAACAAACTCCCTAAGTGATTCTTACACACAATAAAATTTAAGAACTGATACTTTAAATTATCTAAGCAATTGAGACAAAAATTATTTTACTTTTTGATTATTTGATAATCCACTGCTTCATTTTGCCTGTGGAGAAACGGAGTCTAAGCCATCGGACTAAATTCAACTAACAACTGGTCAATTCGGCCATGTAATCTCCAAACAGTACTTCATAAAAAGAACTCCAAAGGGATCTTGGCTTCTTGCTTTGTGATACAGGGCACCCTCTGAGGTCTCTACAGAGAATAAAACTAGAGCTAAAGTAATCATGCGGTGCTGGTGTATTTGAGAAGATCGCAGAGCATGTACTCCATAAACATGTTTCTGGATTCAGCTAAAATGGAGCATATGGGAAGGAAATTTTTTGGAAGAAAGTTTTTCACTTTCTTTTTAAATAGAAGTTAGTGAGCACCTGTGTCTTATTCTAAACATATATATCTGTAATATAGAGATTCTAAATTTTTATTAAAAATATATTCAAAATACGTATATCTAAAAAAATTCATGATCACTACTTTTAAAATACAATAATAGAAATTTATATTCACAAAAAAATTTAACAATTCTTTCTGTTTCATAATGATAATGAGTAGTATGTGTAGCACATTATAATTAAGATAACAAAGAGACTCAGTTCTGAAAACCTTACATAAACATTTCTACTTTATACTTGCACTACACACACACACACATACACATACCTGTATAGCGTAACTAGTTTGTGATCTATTCAAGAACAAAGACTGACTTCTATTTATTCTTTAGTTTCTTTTATATGACTCTGAATTACTTAATACACCTCCTCTGAATTCTGCATACCATAGGCACACAGGTAATGCCTAACTGACTACTGACTAACCAATCTAGAGCAATGCAACACTGACAATTAATTATCGGATATTTTGTTCCTCTATCTATTTGACTTCTTTGGCTCCATCAAAAACAAAATTTAAAAATTCCAAGAGGATACAACCTTTAAAACTGAGAGACACATAAATAAATTAAGGTGGATTTACTGGATCAGTGTATTATTTTTTCATGAGAATATTTACATCCTACCACTATTTTTCCTTGGGCACAATCCCTCCAAGGTATTTCATCATTAAGACCTAATTTAACGTGAAGTTTTATAAAGACATATAATAAACTGAATTTTTTTTTTTTTTTTTTTTTTGCGGTACGCGGGCCTCTCACTGTTGTGGCCTCTCCTGTTGCGGGGCACAGGCTCCGGACGCGCAGGCTCAGCGGCCATGGCTCACGGGCCCAGCCGCTCCGCAGCATGTGGGATCTTCCCGGACCGGGGCACGAACCCGTGTCCCCTGCATCAGCAGGCGGACTCTCAACCACTGCGCCACCAGGGAAGCCCAATAAACTGAATTTTTAAAAAGCATTCATTGCTAACAGAATGATCTGTCACCCAGGCACAGGTTATTATTTTGAACAGACTACAGGTAATTGGTTACAAATAACAGTTACTGATTACCTTCTTGAGTGGAAATAGCCTCTAGGTGTTGAAGTTTAAGGCCAGTGTCTAATCTCTGAGGCTTTGTATACAGAAATAAGTAGCAAAGAACACAGACGCTGACGACAAAGGCAAGTAAAACAAGGGCAGCAATTCCCAGTCCAATCAGAGCGCCAATGCTGAGGAAAACAGAAAAAACACTGTGACTGTCACACAAACTTGTTTGCACATAAAACAAAGGTTTAAATATTGTTAATACTTGCTTCAGTCATTCATACCAAATTATGTTTTATTATAAACAGTATATGATTGAAATCTATGGCTCACCTTTTTCTACCATCAAATTCTTATGATATTTCTCTATACATTTATATGTTAATATTGGTATAGAATACCATGTGAATTCATATTACAGTAAAAGGTCACATGATTCTCTAGGGATGGTTCAAAAACATTTCTATCAGATAAACCTCTATTATTAATATATTTTAGGAGGAAAGATTAGGTTCACCAATAAAAGATGAATAGAAAGATATCTACCTCTGCAAAAACAGTGAAACAAATGTTTACCAGAAGTGTAGAACTTTTATTTTGGAGACATGTATGGGAGTTATCATGTATTAATATACAAAACCACAACCATTACAAGAGAGGAGAACAAAGTTTAATTAAAGGAAAGCAATGTTTATGAAAGTTATGTAAAGTTCATGTTCAATCTGAATTTTTCCTTTCTAAAAGAGCATAACACCAATAGCTTCTAGCATTTAGGAAGAAACCCTTGTACTTTCCTCTAAAAATGCAGTGTAAATATGATATTATTTGCACTAAATTTGTAACAATTCCTTCTGATACAGTTATCTATAAGTCTAATCACTTGAGAAATAATACAATTTTCAGAAACCTGTGAACTTATTTTTAAATGGGAAAAGAAGTTTGGAAAAAAGAAAATTATCTTGCAAGACTAATATGCAAACATATGTACTTTACTTTCATGAGCAATATGTATGTGTGGGTATGTACATACCTATAATTAGATTTTAAGCTGCTTAAGAGCAGATGCTTCTATTGACTTTCCCATAGTCATGTGCACACTTATTAAAAGTGTTTAATAGAGTATTTAGCTTGTAATTAATGTTTCATAAATGGAAATAAACGATAATTGACTGGTGCTTGATCCATTAGTAGTCATTGAAAAGTAATCATCATTGAAAAGTAACAATCATTGAAATGATCACTGAAAAGTAGTGATCTTTTCCTTCATTATTTTCCTGTCTTGCCTTTCAGCTTCTGCTATTTCCCAGAGATTAGGGTGCGAACAAATGTGACATGCCAAAAGTGAGGGAAGGGAGAATTTGACCAGGGGTGCTAGGTGTGTCACTGCTTTGGGAGGAAGAACAAAATTAAAAGTGAGGGGCTGGGCTTCCCTGGTGGCGCAGTGGTTGAGAGTCCGCCTGCCGATGCAGGGGACACGGGTTTGTGCCCCGGTCCGGGAAGATCCCACATGCCGCGGAGCGGCTGGGCCCGTGAGCCATGGCCGCTGAGCCTGCGCGTCCGGAGCCTGTTCTCCGCAATGGGAGAGGCCACAACAGTGAGAGGCCCGAGTACCAAAAAAAAAAAAAAAAAAAAAAAAAAAGTGAGGGGCTAAGCTCATCCTACTTATCCTTAATTTAAGGAGATAAAGCCCCCTTGCAATTTAGAGATTGCCTCCTGAGCCAGACATGGGGGCAGACTTCAAAAGATTCTTGTGCTTGTTAATTACTATCAGCCCAGTTCCCCTAGCCCTGCACAGAAGTGAAGACTGGGTAATTTTCTGGCTAGAGTCAGTATATAGTTGCATATTTAAATTGGAGTTTACCCTCACTTGATGCCCTCTCTTCCAAGAGGTAGACTCCCTGGCTCTGGCAACTCCTCTTTCATGCTTGTTTGCACCAAAGCTGACTTTTGTAGATCATATGTGTAGGGAGGGTTAGGACTGCACAGACACATGGGAACATAATCCACTTAATTAACATTATCTGCTTCATAAAGCAGCTAGGAGGCCAGACATCTGGAAAGATCCCTGAAATGAGAACCCGGTTATTAAAAACATCTTCAAAGTGAAAAAATAATTTAGTCAATTAAAAGTAAAATTGTCAACTTAATTAAATTCAATGTATGTATTACAGACTTTACATGTACACAGTTTAAAAACCAGGCCACATGATTGGAAGGAAAAACAAAAACAAAGCATGTCACTTCTTCCTGTTATAAAAGGATGTTCTTCATGATCCTGACAAACTGTTTCACTGTCATAGTTCCACTTTATAGAAATGTTGCTTTATGCATGCAAAACTCTAGATAAAGATGGAGCTCTGGGAATCTCCTAAAATATTCATTTCAACACATAACTTATTGAACTCAAGCGTAGCCCTGTGCAACACACATTATTTTCCTAGGTCCTGAAGGTTTCCAAAGGAAACCCTTAGAGGTTAGGGATTTATAAGAGGAGAAGAGATGGGAGTGGGCCAGACACAGAAAAGGGAGAATTATGCTTTCCTCACAGCACCATAGGGCAGTTTGCTTTGCAGTCCCTGAGAGAGGGTCTGTAGCTGCTGTCACATTAATGAATTCTCCTACTTAGCAACTTCATTCACCTGGAGGTACCATACCTGTGCCTTTCTGCAGTGGCTGCAGAATCTCAGAACAAATGCTAATGACTTCTGGGATAGTTTTCACAGTTGGACTATTTTAAATTAGGGGAGAGAGCAAAGAATATGAGGGAAATGAAGTTCTAAATTTTTACCTTCCCGTTGTGTTCTCAGAGCTCAATAACTAAGGAAGAACCCCAGGTGGGTTTTTTTTTTAACATCTTTATTGGAGTATGATTGATTTACAATGGTGTGTTAGTTTCTGCTTTATAACAAAGTGCATCAGCTATACATATACATATAGAAACCCAGGTTTAACATTGCCAACTGATGCCATCAGTTGAAATGACTTTTATATTTCCCAGGAACTGAGCTGCATTGTCAATGCTAAATGAAGACCCCAGCAAGCTGTTCATTCCTTTGTGCCCTCATAAACCTTAGGAAGGTTTTCTATCCTCTGCTGCTTGTCACTTTGGAACTATTCAGGGACCTGAGAATCCCGGGCACTTTTCCAATTGAGTTTGACTTAAGAGTTGCCAGTCTCTTATGGAGGTGCTGCCACCATTATTAACACCTCCAAAGACTCAGAGCTAGGCTACTATGTTATTTTCCAAAAGGCCGGATAATATGCCAGTGCAATACAAATTGCTTCCCCAAGTAATAGGGATAAATTGTCATCATTTCCTGTTCTGGCATGATACAAATTTATTAGTTGAACTTGTTGGTAAGTAGGCACTCCTTCTGAGATTTTTTTGAAGCTTGCAGTGTGCAAAAACAAATGACTTTATTGCTCTAAGAAATAACATTTAAAGTCATTTGCTGTAGACTTGACATGTGTGCTAAAGTCTGGACCATGGTAGGAGATTGGGAGAACTAATACTCTTCTTCTTACTTAGCAGAGTTAGCCTCTCTCTCTCTCCCAGACATAAGCTAATTTGTCAGTAACAGTTTGAGGTGGGGTGGCAGTTCTTTCCTGTAACCCTGGCACCCCATTCATTCTCCAGTCAAAATGAAAGAATCAGGTTCTAAGTCTGCAGTCCTTTGGAGTGGAGGGGGGAAAAGCATTTCGTAATGAAAATATCTGTGTAAATACGAATTGGAATATGTTAAATTACCATCATAGGAAAAAGAGGCAAGAAAGACACCACCTTTGAAAGTCTCTTCACTTTCCAGCAATGGCCAAAGAGCTCAAGTGTTGAGAAAGGGGGTGTCCTGCAAAGGTTCAACGGAGTGTGTAATCACAGCAACTGAAACTCTTCCTCTCTGTGGGTCTCCACTTCTGTTTGGGGGTCTGTGTGAGATCAACTGAGAGGGCAAATTACAAAGCCCTGTTGCCTGTGCACGTCGAAACACACACACACACACACACACACACACACACACACACCCTTTCTTGATACTTTAAATGATACAGCCAATTCCTTCTCACCGGCAAAGAGGCTTAAAATACTCTGATCTTTGGTTAACACATTGAGTCTCAAAGGAGCTCCTTTTCCATTCAAATGCACCAAATGTCCAAACAAATAAAAGAGAGAATTAAAACCTCCTCCTTAAGTTATGTGCTTGTCTTTCTCTGCCCGCAGAGCCGCAGGCCTCGGACTGGTGCCGGCGAGAGAGAGTGAAGAGTAGTCCGCTCCCGCCGGGCGGCCCTGCTTGCGCTCTGGGCGCAGAGCCCGCTCTCCTCCCGCGCGCGCCTCGCCCGGGGACCCCGGCGTATTCACACTTCTGGCGCCACTGCCCGACCCTCGCCGGATGGGGGTGGCACCGAGTGGGTTCTCTGCAGGGCCCTCATCAGCCCTCGGAGGCTCCTGTCCCCCCGGGGGGATCCGAGCAGGTCGCAAGGACGCGGGTGACCTCCCTCCTCCCGTCGTGGCACGACTCGTCGCCTCCCCAGCCCCATGGCCGCCAGCCCCCTGCCTACCCACCTGAGGCTCCACATGTAACTGTGCTTGTAGGGGAAGTAGCTGCCCGGCTCACTGCAGCAGTACTTGAGGTCAGCGAAGCCACAGCAGTAGATGAGGGTGGCCCCCTCGCCGCGCTGGGGACACTGGAAGGGCTCCACGAAGCTGCGGTTGAGGCTGTAGTAGCCGGAGCACACCCGGCTGGCCTCGCTCATCTCGGGCGGCTGCGGGCAGGGGCACGCTAAGCCCCCGATCTGCCCTGGCAACAAACGTCCCGCCCCGCCCGCGGACCCCTCCGGCCGTGCTCGCCTCTTGCGATGCAGGGCTGACTGCCTGGGCGGTCAGCCTGGGGCGCGCCTCTTCTGCTCGCTCTCCTCCCCTGGTCCCCATGGTGTCTGGTCGCTTTACACGCGCTTCTCCCTCCCGCTACTGAGTGGTCCTATTATCTGCCGATCTCCGGCCCTGTACCTTTTTCTCCCTCTCCCTTCGTCTGCTTTCTCCACGTTCTCCTGACGTCTCTCCACTTTTCCTCAATTGACGGAGGCGTCCCCACTCCATGCCAGAAAGAGATTCCACCTGAAGGAGAACGGGAGGTGTGGTGTGGGACGTGTTTGCCGTCTGAACGGATGCAGCCAAAGTTGAAATTCCCTTTGCCTAGGGACAGGGCAGATGGGTTTCAGGCAAACGAGCAGGGCCGGGGAAGCAGGGTAGAGGGCAGAACAAAAGGCACTGAACTACCAGTGAGGGGCTGTTGAGAAGTACCCCTTCTTCTTTGAGAAGTATGTGTAAGATGTTAAAATCTGCCAATTTAAATATCAAAGACAAGAACAAAATTTTCTCCAAAAACTAGCCATGCATTCTGTAATCAGTTAACCTGAGAAAGGAAGGACAGGTTAGAGATCGAGGTAAAGAAACTGAGGACCTCCCGCAAAGGTAGGCAGAAAGAGGAGGCAAAGGAAGTAGGGAGAGAGAGAACTTCATCCTTTCAAAGCACTGCAGAAATTTCTCTTGTTCTCTTTTTGTTTGGTATTCTCACTTTAGTGATTCATTTTGTTGACCAAGTTTTTAAAAATAACAATAGTAATGGATGCTTTTGTAATAATTCAAACAATACTATGATGTGTAAAGAAGAAAATATTAATAGCCGTAAGATAGGAGAGGAGGTGATTATAACATCCATAAAATTTCTGAGATAGAACTTTATTCCTTCCTCTTCCTTTTCTGCTTCTTTCCTTCAGCTGAGGGTTGATTGGATGCAGAATCATGAATTTTACCCTACTGGGTGCTGTATGTTTTTGTATTTGCATAAATATTCTTGAGCTTTGTTCTGGGATGCAGTTAAGTTACTTAGAGATGTTACTGGAAGGGGGAACCCTTCCAGGGCCTGAGAGGGGGCTCTGGTGCGTTTTAGAAACCTTTCCCGATCGCAAGGTGTACCATCCTCTGGGTTTCCCATGCATGTTTTAGCTGTAGGAAGATTCCCCTAAACCTGGAGAGTTGGGGCCCATGGAATGGGTAGCACGCAGTATTGCTTTAAAGGGTCTGCATTTGCTCACCCAACCTCACCAATCCTCTTGTCTAACACTTGGAAATGAATTGTCCGAGGAGACAAACGTACTGGCAAAGCAAAAGACTTTATTGGGAAGGGGCACCCGGGCAGAGAGCAGCGGGATAAGGGAACTCAGGAGAACTGCTCTGCCACGTGGCTTACAGTCTCAGGGTTTATGGTGGTGGGGTCAGCTTTCTGGGTGTCTCTGGTCAATCATCTTGCTTGTCCCCATATTTGGTCCAATTCAAGGCCCTTCCTGATAGTGCACACATCTCTTAGCCAAGATGGATCCCAGCGTGAGGGTTTCTGGGAGGTTGGCAGGCCATGTTATAGTCTGGCGTCTCCTCTCTCCTCTTGGCCCCTCCCAAATTCTCCTGGTTAGTTTTTGGTGGCAGCACCCTGTTCCTTATGGGGACCTCCTGTTCGGGACAACTCATGCAAGTGGTTATTATGCCTGGCCAAGGCAGGCTGTTTCAGTCAACGGTTCCCTAACAGAAACTGTTGGATTCTTTCAGGTTTGATTTTTTTTTAATTTATTTAATTAATTTATTTATTTGGCTGCGTTGGGTTTTTGTTGCTGTGCGCGGGCTTTCTCTAGTTGTGGCAAGTGTGGGCTACTCTTCGTTCCGGTGCGCGGGCTTCTCATTGTGGTGGTTTCTCTTGTTGCAGAGCACAGGCTCTAGGCACACAGGCTTCAGTAGTTGTGGCACGCGGGCTCAGTAGTCGTGGCTCGCGGGCTCTAGAGCGCAGGCTCAGTAGTTGTGGTACACGGACTTAGTTGCTCTGTGGCATGTGGGATCTTCCCAGACCAGGGCTCGAACCTGTGTCTCCTGCATTGGCAGACGGATCCTTAACCAGTGTGCCACCAGGGAAGTCCCTTCAGGTTTGATTTTAAACTTTGTTAGGCAGGACCAGAACAGACTTGAAGGCTAAATTGATGATTCTCTTCTTGTTATAGGAAGATGGGGCACAAGAGGATGGTCATGTCGCAGGTCTTGGGTGAGTCCATGGGACAGACCGCCAAGTGAAGGTCCTTGGCTTCTCACGGGAAACAATTCAAGAGCGAGCCATAGCAAAGTGAAAGCAGTTTATTTGGAGAGATGTCTGTTTATTTACACAGAATGCGGTCCCTCTCAAAAGGTGAGAGTGGCCCTGAAATATGGGGTGGTTAGTTTTTATGGGCTGGGTAATTTCATCGGCTAACGAGTGGGAGGATTATTCCAACTATTTTGGGAAAGGGGCAGGGATTTCCAGGAACTGGGCTACCGCCCAGCCCACTTTTTGGCCTTTTACGGTCGGCCTTGGAACCATCATGGCCCCTGTGGGTATGTCATTTAGATCCTAATGTATTACAATGAGTGTATAATGAGGCTCAAGGTCTACTGGAAGCCAAATCTTCTGCCATCTTGGGCCTAGTAGGGTCTAACCAGTTTCTATTGTAACCTCAACGGCTATGTCATTCTTTTAAAGGTTGTGCCCTGCCCCCTTCCCTCCTATCTCATTCTGAATACTCTACTGGGTACCTTGTGAATTACAAGGCTTACCATTCTGACCAGTGGAAATAAACTATTCCAGGCCTTGTGAAGGCTCCAAGAAGTGCACCCTCTGATCCTTTTAGGTGGCTCTTTCCCTGGCTTCCAGTAGTTTCTTCACAGCCATGTGCTGATCACGACTTAGCTGAAGCCTCAAGGAGATCCTCCTGTGAGCCAGATCTTGAACTAACTCTCTCTCTCTCCCCCTCTTTCTCTCTCCCTCACATCTCTCTTTCTCTCCCTCTCTCTCTCTCTCCAGCTCTCTTCTCTCTCTAGTACTCTGTCCTGCTATCTCTATCCACCATGCCTTCCCTGGATTCCAGCTCTGTCTTCTCAACTCAGAGAGACCACTGGGCTCCACCTGGGTTCCCCCTCCCCATGCTGCATTCTGGAAACTCTCTCCAGACAGCAAGCTGGGGCAACCATAAGGCTCACCTCGTCTGTTTGCCTTCTCTCAAGATTCACTGTCCTGCGCTACCTGATATCCATGTTCAAATCCCATTGCTTCTATATTTTGTGTGTTTATCTTTTTCAGGCAGGAGGGTAAATCTGATCCCTGTTAAGCCATCTCAGCTGAACTTGGCCAGGGGATTAGGCCTGATCCAAGCTAGCCAGTTGGGTTCTCACTCCTGCAACTGGGATTCTGCCATGTGGACACTGTGGACTAAGAATGCCTCCTGCCACATCAGTAAACAAAAGATGCCCGGCCATCAAGCCATCAGCCACTGCAGTCACGCCCAAGGGTGCACCCGGAGGAGACTCAAGATGGAAAAAAACAGGATACCAGCCCTAGTTAGCTGAGGTGCATATCAAAGGAATGATATCAATGAGCCCAGAACTTTGCATCTTCCCATACATAGAAAAGCACTAAATTCATTAACTTGAGATGTCTGGTTTTCTTTAATTAACAGTAATCTTTTGATGTTCCAATTACCTGGTTTTTGTTACAAAACTCCTTTATATCCTGGCTCTTCCCTTCCCTCTTCAGAGTAGTGCCTCAGAGCCATCTGAGAGTCCTGTCTCCTAGGCTTGACATCCTCAGAAAATCCGCTGAATAAAACATAACTCTCAACTTTTAGCTTGTGCATTTCTTCAGTCGACAACAGGAAGCCACAAGAAGCTAGTGTACAGGAAAGAGAAAAACGAAGCAAAGAGGAGCAGCAAAGAAGGGTGGAAGGAGTGCTGATGGCTTTGCAATACTCGTTCAAGTCCTTTCCTGAGATCCACGGCATTCCTACCATTGGGTTTTTTTATTATTATTATTTAAAGTCCTATTTTCTGGCTAAAGTGCACTCAAGTTGGATTCTACTACCTGCAACCAAAGGGTTCTAACTCAAACAGCATGTCTTCAGGCAAAGTTGAGGGAAGAGGAGGGCAGTTGAAAAGGAAAATCTGAATCTCTTTAAATAATGGAACAGGTTCCCTTGGAAAGGGGAGCAATAGGCAGCACAAGTGGACTTTTCTTCTTGTTGTGCAAGAGGAAAATAAATTTTGAGAGGAAGAATTTTGAGATCATTGTTTTTCTGAACAATGATCTTGTCTCAATAAAATGTACAGAAATCTTATTGGAGCGTGCAACAACAAGGTGGAATTTGAGTGCTTGAGAGAAGGGGACAAAAAATATTGAGAGTAAACACTGGGAAACATCCTGGGGGACAGGCAGAATGGGACAAAAGGATTGGGTGCGTCGTTGAGGGCCCAGTTAATGGTTAGAGATCATAGCTTGCTGGTAGAACTACCCTGTTGGTTCATGTGATTTTCTCCAACAATGCATGTTCAATAGCCCAGGAACAGGAGCAGAGAAATGGGCAGCAGGATTTGTCAGGATGGTTCTCTAACCCATTGATGCCTCTGCAATCACAGCAGAGCCTTAGCCTTTTCCAAGCCCCTCAAACATACAGAAACACACAGAGGAAGGCATGCCCACAGCTGCTAGTCTCTATCGAACATGGAGCACTTGAGGCCTCTGAAATTCAAGCAAAGGAGCATTTTAATGCCTGAGGCTCAAGGGTAGTGTTAAGACTGTGACTTTCAACAAGACCCGTTCAGAAATGCATATCCCTTGCTTGACTTGCCTACTGTGTGGTCCCATGTGAACCAGTCCCCAGCTCTCTGCCTCCAGGCAGGGGGAGCTCTGTCAGGGAGTGGGAATGGGAGTGGCCCAGCACCAAAAGGTAGCCATACATTACATCTTTTATTTTCTTATATCTCACTGCTTCTCAACCAAGGTGATACTCCCCTTTAGAGAGTCTTTAGGACATATTCTGGAAATAAGGAGACATTTTTGGTTGTCATGATGACTGTGAACCCTACTGGCAATGAGGGTTGTGGGCCAGTGATGCTAGACATCCTGACAACCTGCAAATGTACAGAGAAATGAAGAACTGGCTGTGACTTTCAAATGTTCCACAGGACATTCATGGAGATGAAAAACCTATTTATAATTATCTGTGCCTAGCACCTGTTCCCGTGTGTCAAATAAATACCACGAATTTCTTGAATTTTCCAGGAATGTAACTACCATGTAAATTGAAGGAAGATTGTTGTTTGTTTCGTTTGGAATTTTACCAAGCGTTTTTCACTCTTTCAGAAAATCACGTACCAACGGTAATGTTACTCGAAATTTTGTATTTGAGTTGCCAATAACATGTGCTGTCTGTGTCAGCGCATATTTTTACTGTCACACTTAGAGCCACTGCATGCCCAGTATTGGTATAAACATTACGTCTTTTGGTATAGCTGTGCTTGAACATTTACAAGTGCAAATATGTATTTTATTGTAAATTACATTCCATTTATTTCTTCTTTACATTATAATAAAGGCATTACATATAATGAGTAAGCTAGTTTGCTAGGGTCGCCATAATTAAGTACCACGGACTGGGAGGTTTAAACAACAGAGAAATAATTTTCTCACAGTTGTGGAGGCTAGAACTCTGAGATCAAGGTGTCTGCAGGGTTGTTTTCTTCTGAGGGCTGCGAGGGATGAAACTGTGACTGTGTCTTCATATTGTCTTCCCTCCGTATGTATCTGGCTCCCCTCCTGAAGAAGCTATGGAGGGTAGAAGCAGTAGTCAAACTTAGAATTCACAATCTGACGTAGAAGAAAGTGTCAGATTTCATCCAAAACCTGAACATACCTGGTGAACATTCTGACCCATGAATAAGCTAAAAGGGCTCGTGGATGATGGTCCAGTGGACATGGCTGATTTACATCCTTCTCCTTTGGGATGAGCATCACCACGTCAAGATGTTCAAAGAGTTTGTGCCCCTAACATGAAGCATATGACTGAACTAGTGCAGAGTTGGGAGACCCAGCTAATCACTGTGAAGATAAATCGCACTTCATCAGGAGGTCAGGTTTGCTGTCACCATCAAGTGATACAAATGTTCCATCAAGAGCACGTCACACCACGTAACATGCAGGACCTGAGCTGAGAGAAGATTCTTTCCCAGCGTTTAGGGGCCTCCATCTTCCTTTGGTCCCTGGGATGGGGCTGAAATGAGACAAGCTTACTGTACCATAACAGAGCCCAGTGACTTGTTTCTGACCCTCCTCTTTCTCTGGAATTCTCAGGATGTGGAGAGAAGGAAAAGAGTCTCTGCCTCATTTGAGGAGGTGGTTTGATTAGAGTTACATTTGTCAATATGTTATTTTCTAATTTTTAAGGATTTTCTCTTACTGCAGTAAGCTAAACTTAATCATTATTAACCTACTTAATAGTCACTGTTTAAACTGCCCTCCCCCATTCCAAGAAAAAGAAAGAGGTTCTCATTCATTTAGCATTTACTATGACTGAGGAACCGCTGTAAAGAGTTATTCCTCCTTCTCCAACATTAAAGTGGAACTTGTGATTTATATTTTTGGGGTCTAAGGTAAGATGAGAGAGACACTGTCAAGCCTGTTAAGGCTGGTGAGAATGAGTGGTTCAGGGGCAGGTAGGTTCCAGAGAGTGGCAGAAGTAGTGTAGCCTCATGCATCTACATCGTTAGTTTTGGTTCATGGAACCTGTATGTAGTTCCCAAGGATAAAATTGATAGTCAGTCTACCAAGGCTCTATTTGATTTGTATGGCTGGAGAAACTAGTCTCAACCAGTATTCACTCAAAGATTCTGCCTCTCTCTCTCTCTGGCAGATTATGTAAATTTGAGCGTCAAGGACTGGGGATTGGCTCTGCTGGTCTGAAAATTTGGTACCTCGGGGAGGGATGCTCCTACTAGGAGAGACGATCATTTTTCTGCACACTGGGACCTGAGACTGCTCTCGGCCATCTCAGATCCTTCATGCCTCCTGGGGAACATTCTTTCCTTGTTTTCTTCCTAGAATTAAGCGTTCATGTTCTTAACTTCTTAACTGGTTGTAATTTCGAGTGCTGCTACCTGTATTCAAATGCCTGTGGGAATCTCACAGGTCAAGCCTAAGCCGTGTCACTGCACCAGTACTGGCTATGGCAACATCAGTGACAGCAGCAGCTTTGTGGAGGTGCCCTAGGTGTCCTCATTGGAAGCAGAGGGTGACTGTTGCAGCATAGGTGGCCTTAGACGGCCCCATGGCTTTCAGGGGCAGTAAAGATCTCTGAGTTGATAAAGGTTAAAGAGGGCTTATTGGTTTGCAAAAATTAGCTGCCCCTCTGAATGCACCTATAAATAAATGCAGGTAATTTGGAAGATGGAAAGTGACCTGAAGTACTGAAATAGTGGGTGGAGCTGAAGCAAAGAAATACTGTTTATTACTATTTATATGACATCATTTTACTCCCAGAATGGTTCAGTCTGCGGAAATTACAGGCTGAGTAATTTTCAAGCCTGGAACACTTTTAGTGACTACCAAGTTGGAGAGGGAAAAGATAACATTTTTACCATAGTTATACAAGATTTCCTGGTAGGAGGATTATCTAGAAAATTTATCCAGAATCACAGGTTCTATGATTGATTTACTTTATCAGATTTTGAACATTTGACCACTTCCTCCCATATTTTACCAGAAAAAAAAATCAAAGAATGATTAGTTTTTTAATGTAGAAAAAACCAAACGTTTAAGCATGTAATATGTCACTCATGTTAGTTATGTTATGGAAATATTATGTTATATTATTATAACTGATAAGAATTTACAACATTCAGGTAAAGAATCATTTTTTAAAATCAAATGAAGTCGGATACAAACACCAGTCTAACAGGTAGAAAATTTAATCTCAGTTATATTTTGGGAGGCCTTTCCCTCTTCTCTTGGTGGTACAAATGTCCTGGAGAGATTATGCAATTCCAAACAATTTGTGGGCACCAAAAGTGGGCTGGTGGGAACAGTCTGCTCCAGGTGCAGGCCATAAGGGGGTGCATTTTTATGGGTAATTAAGAATAACAATGCTGATTAAAAGGTTTCTCTGCTTTTTATTATCACCATGCAGCAGCAATTTCAAACACTCAGGGATAGATACTCCATCGTGAGAAAAAAATCTTTGTGTGCATGAATTCTAAACAGTTGCTGTGAACACTGTTGAGTTCTAATAATATACATTAAGCTACACATTAGCACCTTTATTACTTATTCTTTAAAAGATATTTCATTCTACATGGACTTCAATTAGGAGAAGTTTTAGTAATTCAGTTTTTCCCTGGCCCCTACCCCCAGTTCTGCCATGGACCCAGCAGGCATACATGTTTGCTTAGTGATAAATTCCTAAATGTTAGGAATCACTTGAGTGAATCCCTGTGGTACTACGCATTCCTGCATTTAAACAGTAGATTCAATTAAAAAAAAGCAAAGATAGCACATTGATTATGCAGATGAAGATATAAAACTTCAGATACTCCAATACTATATGGCAACTTGGAATTTTTGTGTTTAAATTTTAAAACAGTGAATCAGAGTGTGTATGGTCAGGCCACTCAAGGGGGCTGCTCTCTTGCTCTCTGTACACTGCCTGCTCGACCGATGCCTGCTTCACCTATACCCTACTCACAAGACTGACCTTCCTACATACTTGCGCAATGTCCCAGGTGGTGATTATCGTTATCAAAGGGGCAGTGAGGGGCGTACCCCTCTGCTGGTTTCCCTGGTAACTGATGAGC